CAAATAACAAAAATTGATATTTGAATACCAAAAGAATACCTGTGTGGTATTGTTTTGGTATTGCATTATCATAATTTGTTATTGGAATGGTATTATGGTATTTTTTTGGTATAATTTTTTGGTATTTTACCTCTTATGTCAGGCTCATCCATACCAATTTAAGGTATCGAGATATTTGTTCCTGCTCGGGATGAGAGCGGTAAAGTATAAATTTTCTAATAATTATACCATCACTGTTTGGGTGTTTGAAAGACTGTAGAAAACGTATTTCTAAAGATGATAGAATTTAAGCAAACCGTTTATTCTGGAATCTTGATTCGAAATAACAGACCAGTTTTATACGTGAACATGTGCAACTAATGGAGATTACTAAACGAATCCATAATACGCACATCGATGATGGCCTTCGTAAACATACATACAAATACCATGTACCAGCGGTACTGTGGAAAACGTCTACCGAAAATTTATCTAAATACTCTAGGATATTCAGATCATTGCGGGTAAGCTACAGCGTTATAACATGTTATGTTAAATGTTTAACCAATCCATTTAATATAACAGGAACATTGTATACCGGTGCGTTGATGGTGATCACCCAAAACCCATCAAGCTTGCCAAGTATCAGAGGGATACATCAAAGCGCGATGTAATAAAAGCACCCATTTCTGCATTCAAACCAACCATTTCGCTCTATTGACGTGAACATGCACTGAATCACTTATATCTGCTATCGGATTTGTCAGAGAAGAATATGTATGAAGTGTTGCAAAACCGTAATATGCATGCCAGCTATGTCCTGCTATTGCTGAAGCAAATGAATATCTCACTTGTTAAACTAGGACGCAAACAGTGCGAAACCTGTGTTAAAGCGACCCTACACGAAAAGCAGACAGGACATTCGACTTCTGCGGTCCAAGAAAACATGTGTTCGATTTGTGACAGCTATGCAGTCCACTTAAGTGAAGATGGTGAAGAAACAATTCCAGGAAGAGTTGTGTTTACTTTAGATTTGTAGAAGGTACGTTGCAGGGTAGACAAATCAGTTAAAAAATTACAAGACTCGTTGTTCCAGTTGGCAAATATTCGAGTTTTCTTCTTGGGATGAATCAACCAGTGTAAGGTAATCCAGTGATATTTAAAGAGGCTTCCACCGTGTCATTGATCAATTTGGTGATTCGAAAGAAATTGTTCTGTGGCTCGATAATTGTACGGCCCAGAAAAAAAATTGGGACTTTTTCTTCACCTTATTCTTTTGATAAACTCAAAACTTAGTAAGATGCGAAAACTTGTTCTCAAATATTTAAAGACTGTTCTCGAAAAAATGCAACAGGTTAAAATTATCACCAAAAATTCATTTTAAGTCGGATATTTTTTAAACTTTCAGGGAATAAATAAACACATATTAGCTATGTTTTTGCAAACTTGGTTTTTTCAACCTCCTTTCCAAGGCTGAATACCAACACCTTGGACTTAACGCTACCCTTAAAATCCTGTGCAACACTTGCACCATCTTTCTTCACCTTCGTGGGACCAGAGGAAGGACAGCAGGCGCTTCTGGAGCCATCCTTCTCTATATATTTATTTGGCCGTTGATGATGCCGGTCGTTATGTACGGCTTGTTGAATTTGTCGCACCCACAGATCGCCTGCCACACTAAGTACTTCTTGGCCAATTTGTCGACCTTCTTCTTCCGAAAGTTCTAAGGAACATCCAGGCGGGACTTTCCAACGAAAAACTCCAGGCCGGGGATCTACTTGGCGTCGGCTTTAATGTACGTCTCGTAGTCCATTACGATGCATTTCGGCTGCACCAACCACTCGTGGTACAGCTTCCTGGCACGGGATTTGGCCACCGTATTCTGTTTATCGTATCGGTTAGGCGTCCCTTACCTTGAAGTCCGGTCCGCTTCATTGTCTGCTGGACGAAGCAGACGGAAGAATTGCCCTTCTTGGCCACGTCTGGAATCGAAAGGTTCGGATTGCGCTTGAAGTAATCTCTCACCTTCCTTGCATTCACGGGGTCGGTCGTCTTCGCTTTTATTCCACTGTCAGCTCCCCGCTGGGTCTTCTGGGTCTCCTTGAACGATTTTATCACACGGGACACCATCGAATTGTCGATTCCAAACTGTTTCGCGATCCACCTGTGGGACTGCCCTGGATTTTCCACGACCGCTCCCATAATGTTTAGTCGAAGCACTTCTTGCTTGGAATGCATCTTGATAACCACTTGACAGATTGTGACGAGATGTGGCACATGTAAACATTACACTCTAAACTAGTTTTACTCAAAGTTTCTTCCATTTTTACCCATGCAATAAAAAGTTATACACAAAAGAAAGTGTTGCATTTTATTCGAGTAAAATCTTTAATCTGAGCGCAGCTTTAGGGTAGATAGGGGCAATATGGTCCCCCTAAGAAAAATACTTCATAACACATGAAAAGCATTCATAAATGTATGATAGCTATCATCATGCTCATGCTTTGGAATATGTTTGATAATATACAATGTTCAAAATAGGATAGACTCAATAAATTATTATGTTTCTAAAATTTCAGTTTTTGCTCCGATCAACAATCATACGGGTCAATATGAGCACCCTAGTAAAAGTTAACGTTTTGACAGGTTTTCACTAGAAAATAACATTCAGGGATCATGTGAAATAGAAACATAAGTTCTTTTAGCAACAGTTACATGTATTGCTCGCTGTAGAACCAGCGGATCAGTAAAATGTAATATAGTGATTGCAATGCTTGTTTTCTTGGCTGCATATCTTATAATATTCTAGATATTTTGAGCTAATGTTACATTTCCATTATTAATTTAGACATGTAATTGAATTTTGATACGGTTTTCATGGAGATGCATATTAGAAGCATTTTCAACAAGTTTATAAAAAAAAATAGATTGAGTTAATAGGTATTATGCCCAAACGAACGGTGGCCCATCCCGCCTCGTATGGTTCTTGCCCCATCCCCCTTATGTATCCAGACAGTTTCCTTGCAGCCGTGGAAAAGCAGATGCATTGGCATAATAAACTAAAATATGCCAAAAATTCATATGGGACTGATATGCTTTTATGGGCAGTTTATGAGACAGGCACAATTGCGTCATCTGCCGCTCAAAGGTAAAGGCTTCGATCGAATTTGATAGCAAAGATTACAAGCAAGTTTTGTGTATTTACTCATTTGCACTGCTTCCAACTTCACCCAAGTGCAGCGCTACTGTATTTTTCGTTTGGATTCAGGCAAAGTTGCTAGTCTTGTTCTTCGCAATCCATTTTAATGAGATTCAGGAAAGCAATTTCCGAGACTCAGCAAACAAACGTCACTTTTGCTGAGATCTCAGTAAAACAGATTGCCGAGCACTCGACTGTGCAAATCTCGGCAAATGTGTGTAGAACGATTTTTCTTTATAAATAATTAGAGCTATCGAATAAGTACGAAAGGAATGGTCTCGAACAAACAGTGGCCAGTTTCAGCGAGAGTTGCTCATATGCATGCTTGGCGTGCACATTTGTGCACGCCTACTGCTCATTTGTTAATAATTTTTCACTCAAATGTTTAAATTATGTGTTCTTTAAAGTAATTAATAGATTAGGATCACAATTTACTGTAGACATGCAAAGAGTAGGTTAATCTTATCATTTGAATCAACACCAATGAATTTTTACACTTTAAGTCCGAGATATGAAGTCTAGACTAACATTTGAAAAGGGCGGAATTCCAAAATCACCATATTGGAAAATCGCTTGCGAATTTTAAAGACCTAAAAATTAGTCCTATATCACGACTTTCCATTTTCTGGATGATTTTATAAGCTTTGCATATACAAATAGTGTAATCTATCATCGTACATCACTAAAAACTAAAAAAAAAGTTTTTTTTTGCCGTGAAATTGAGAAGAAAACATACACCCTGATAATTTCTTTCATGTTGTTACCCCCCGGATCTTCCACCCTTTGAACTGCCAACACTGGTGATACGCCGTGGAAATACATTCTCGGGATTTTTTGTTTGTTGTTCCGTCTTGGTTCTTCGTTCGCAAATTTTGTGAGAGTGGAATTACGCCCGGAGATTTTTTGGTCTTCTTTTTGTTCGTTGTTTACACGTGAAATATCAATCGGATGCATTTCAAATGAATCGGGCGTGACTAGTTACTACAGAATAAAAGCATTTTGCATATTAAAACAATATAATTCGTAGTTTTGGAGCAAGGCGTAATAACCACATGTATCATAGAGTTGAAAATTGGAAATACGCCATGTAAAAGGATTCGTTTTTGATGATTTAAAATTATATTTTCTTCTACTTTTTCGTGTTTATCGAGTAGTTTGTGAGCTGTTCTCTCCATATGTGGCAAAATATGGTTTGTTTACATTTTGGCTCTTCCGCCTCTTTCAAATGTTGGTCTAGAAGTGAGCATTTCTCACTTCATTTTTGCAACGTAAAATTAAATACAGTTTATTACTAGCATTAAAATATTTTACGTATCTATAAGAAGCTTAAACCAAAGACAAACAGACATAACACTCGCAAGTAGTTAATCGAACAAGCATTTAACGGAAAATTTAAAAGTATCGTAGTTGGTAGTACCGCCACCTGTGGCGCGCATAGTCAATTACCTTGAGGTTGACGTTTACATACTACCGCCATCTGTTCACAGCAGTGCCCACCAAAGTGTACTCTACAGATGGCGGTAATGTTTTAGCGACGATGTTTTACAGTGAGAAATATTAAATGTGTTAGTCTGTTTGTCTGTGCTTCGATTCTTTTCTATCGACAGCTTCAAAGAGAACTATGTTTCGTCAACTCTGTGCAAAGTTATTAGCAAATGAGCAGTTTGTGAGCAAAATTGTGTATGCCAAGCATGCTCATATGCCATTAAATTCTCAAATGTTTAAACCTCCTAAAATTCTTAAAATAGAGTCTGTACCTTTACAAACGAATTACAATCCATCTAATCCAACAACACATCATTTCTCTCCACCCATTCCGCAGGTGATAACCTGGTTCCAAAATCGCCGAGCGAAGCTGAAGCGCGACATGGAAGAACTGAAGAAGGACGTCGAAACGGTCAAGGTCCTTTCCGCCCACAAATCGTTCCTGGAGAATGTGAACGACATGAACATCCTCAAGAAGAAGATTATGCACGACCACGGTGGTAGTCCGCATAAATAATACCTAGAGCCACCGTTCTTCGGTGGCGGCGGCGGTGGTCATCCGGCGGCTACCATTAATGCCGTCATTGGATCGTGTCCTGCAACGCCAGCCGAGCAGCAGGCCGCCACCAAAACCCTAATCAATCTCACCACCTACGGCAGACTGCTGCAATCAATTGCCTCCGATAAGACTTGAAAACAAAACAAACAAACAAATGCGAACAAATCTTCAGCACAGGTGAAACGCTTCTGTTGCTGGTATCAGTACTACTTGTGTAAAGTTAACTAGAACTGTTGTAATTCCTACTGTGGACGGCGAGCGAGTGTCTGATGAATGCACGTGTGATGAAAGTAACGTATCCAGTGTTGATAGTTTTATCCTATTGTTTAATGTTATTTTGAAGAAAAGAGAGTTTTTGTCTTTTTTATATATACCAATTAGATAATTTATTCGATTCGAGGATGTTCCTCCGGTCTCAGTATCCTTTGTAATTTAGCAGTGTAAGTCGCGTAATCCAGGTCGAATCGTATAGATGTGTTTATTTCTTCTCACTCGCAGTAAGAATCTTGTAATTTTCTGTAAAATATAGCTAATACATAATGGTAAAGTAAACGAATCGAGAGACTAATTACATTGAAATTAGTTAGGTCTCATTTTTCCCTTGCTCCCTGTTTCTGTAAATAACTACTGTTCATCGAAAAGCTTGCTCGGCTCTTCCCTTCGGTTTAAACTGCAACACATGCAATGTGATTAATCCGCTTATTTTGGTTTTGAAACGGGCACATCACGAGATTTTAATTAAAAAAGAAAGTTGACATCACACCAAGTAAATAATTTTCGCAAAATGATGCAGAAAATAGCCAGTTGAGAGCGGCAATATTTGATTTAATTAACCATCCTCCTCGAGCACGCCGAAAGCAATTGTTGTAAATAAACAGTAATAAATTGGCTCTCGTGGAATCGAGCGTCCGTGTAACCTCCAAACGAGGGGTTCAACCATGGGGTCCGGCATCCAATGGACAGAAAATTGATTTTTGTATTACCTTCCTTTTTGAAATAAAAAAGAATCATATTTACCTGTTGACCCAAAATATCTCAAAATCAATTTAAATCATTGCTTTAGGACGGTAATCAAAAACATTATTTCTGCGTAGGCCCCTCGGTTTCTCGTTTTGAGGTTACGCTCATATTTCTCGAGGTGGGAGGGACTGAGGCTGCTTTCAGCTGCTACTTGATCTCCGCTGCCGTCACCATCGCCACCGCTGCTGTTGCTACTGTAAAAATGGGTATTAATTGAAAAATGAAATGTTAAATAATATTTCCTATAGCGTAATTAAAGGAGCGCACAAAAGTGTAGTTTAATTAACAGTGATTACGGGCGGTGGCCGCAGCTCGGTTAAAGGGCAGCAGCAGTGAATGGGTGAGAAATTTATGAAAGTTACAGAAGTGTGAGAAGTAAAACAAAAACAAAAAAGATAATCCAATATACTACACTTGGGCCGTGTTGTTGCAGTAGCGGCAGGAGGATCAAGAAAACGAGCAAATGGGTAGACGTACTCAAAAAGCGAATCATGAAAAATTGTAAATATTTAATTATTATTGGTAGAGCACTCATTTTTCCTCTCCGTCTCATCTTTCGCTGAGTATGGCTTAACATCCCTTTGGATGAAGCAAGTAGCACTAAAGAAAACTTAAGAATCAATCAGGCAGATAAAGTATTCTATCGAGAATTAATTACACAAATTTGTCATTTGATTGCTAGATGAAATGATCTGTACTAAATGAAAATGTATTTAAAATATGGATCGAAAACAAGTGAGAAATCATATATGAGATGAAAAAATATAAAACTTTAAAACATACTCAAACGTGCACTATCATAATGGAAAAATATGAGAAAAACCAAGGGAAAACATCTGACAAACCTCCTACATCCAGGTTTAATCGGAAGCTATGAAGTTTGACGTGTTGGATCCGATCTATATTTTTTTATTCAAGATTATTCTCTGCCGGTCTCTGTTCCACACCGACGCAGTGCACTTGCTTTACTTTTGCTGGCCCGACGTTCCTCAGGATTTTACCTGCATAACAATGATGCACCAACTAACTCGATCCCTGGTTGCTTGTCTCCAATTCCTCGAGCGTTTCAGATCTTGCTCCACTTGGTTCAACCACCTAGCACGCTGCGCTCCTCTGCTTCTTGTTCCAGCCGGATTTGAGGTAAACACCATTTTGCGGGATTATTATCCGGCATTCTTACAACGTGTTCCGCCCATTATACCCTTTCAGCTTAAGCGACTTTCTGGATATTGGGTTCACCATAGAGTTGCGCCAGTTCGTGGTTCATTCTTCTCCTCCAAACACCGTTTTCATCTACACCGCCAAGGATGGTCCTAAGCTCGCATAGTTCGAAAACTCCCAGTGCTTGCAGGTTCTCGTCTATGTCTCATGCCCGTAGAGTACTACCGGTCTTATCAGCGTCTTGTACATGGTACACTTAGTGCGGAGATGAATTTCACCTGACCTTAGGGTCTTGTTGAGTCCGTAGTAGGCACGACTTCCGGCAATAATGCGTCTCCGAATTTCTCTTCTGCAGTTGTTATTTGACCGTCACCAATGATCCGAGGTACACAAATTCATCCACCACCTTGAACTCATCTCAGTCTATTGTCACACTTCTGCCAATGCGACCCCTATCGCGCTCGGTTCCTCCAGCTAACAGATACTTTGTTTTCGACGTATTCACCTTTAATCCAAAAATGGTACAGGCATCGAAAGCTCTCAATTAATAACTGTGGAAGTGCATCTAGAACACTAAGTTGAGAGCACGCAATAAGCTAATATGCGATATGCAATAAGCTTGAAATGCGAAGAAGAAGAAGAAGAAGAACAGGTCTGCCACCACCTGAAACGTTCTTCTGACAATGTCCACGTCGTCAGCGAAGCAGGTGAACTGGCTGGACTGATTTGAAGATCGTGCCCCGCATGTTAAAGCCCGCACGTTTCATAACACCTTCTAGCGCAATGTTAAACAGGCGACAGGAAAGGCCATCACTTTGTCGAAGTCCTTTGCGTGTTTCAAACGGGTCTGATAGCGCAGCCGATTTCTTCACGCAGCACTGTACACCATCCATCGTAGCCTTAATCAGTCTCGTCAGTTTCCCGGGAAAATCGTTGTCGTCCATAATATTCCACAGCTGTGTGGTGATGTGTAGGAACTTGATATGCATAACATTTTTGGAAGAGCTTGCCGCAACGTGAAGATTTGGTCTGTTGAGGATCGCCCGTCCACAAAACCGACTTGATAACTTCCTACAAATCTGCTTGCTAGTGGCGATAGACGGCGGAAGATTGATATGGGAAAGCACTTTGTAGGCTGCGTTGAGAATGGTGATCACTCGGTTGTTCTCACATTCTAACTTGTCACCCTTCTTGTATATTGGGCATATTACTCCCTCTTTCCACTCCTCCGGTAGCTGTTCTGTATCCCAGATCCTGACTGTGCAGACAAGTTGCTAACTTTACTGGGCATATTTTGATAAGCTCCGCTCCGATACCATCCTTCCCAGCTGCCTTGTTGTACTTTAGCTGTTGGATATCATCCTTAACTTCTCTTATCGTGGGAGTTGTTACTTGTACTTCGTCCGCCGCAACAATGAAGCTGCTCTCCACCTCTGTGTCATTAAGGTGTTCATCGTAGTGCTGCTTCCACCTTTCGATCACCTCACGTTCGTCCGTCAAGATACCTCAATCTTTATCCCGAGACATTTCGGCTCGCGACACAAAGCCTTTGCGGGATCCGTTGAGTTTCTTGTAGAATTTGCGGGTATGTTGTGAACGATACAGTCAGTTCCATTTTTTTCGCACGCTGCTTCTTCCAGGCGACGCTTGTTATCCCGGAAAAGGTGATTGTCCGTCTTCCACATTTTGACGGTTACCTTGCTGCAGCGCTGCATTCTTCTCGTCTAAAATCGTCTGACACTCCTCGTCAAACCAATCGTTTCGTCGATTCCGTACCACAAACCCAATGGCACCTTCTGCTGCGCTGTTAATGACTGCTTTGACACTATCCCAGCAGTTCTCAAGAGGGGCTTCGGTCACCTTTCCCTCATCCGGCAGCGCTGCTTCAAGGTTTTGCGTGTAGTCAGTTGCGACTTCGCGTAACTTGAGTCGTTCCAGATTGTACCGTGGCGGGCGTCGGTACTAGCAATGGGCGATTTTGGATCGAAACACAAAAGATCGATTATTTTGGATCGATTAATCGATTTTTGGAATCGATCTCAAACACGACAAAAATCGACTGGATCGATCCTTTTCATTTGATTTTTGTTTCGACCAATAAAAAAAATTCAGTGCATTTGCATTTGCAATTTTAAATTGATTTTTTTTTCACCTTCGCACATCACTTACCTTGAAAGTGGATTATACAAATAAGCAGTGAGACAGTTCAGTAGGCAAAAAAGAGAAATAGTTTACACTCTTTTTAAAAACTATCCAAATTTGGGTACAATCCACCCAGATCGGTCAGAACTGAACCTACCCAAAAATGGGTAAACTGTGTTGGGAGTGAGAAGTTGATAAATGAACAACGTCGATCGGATTCATGTCAATGTTGTTCATTTGTCAACTTGTAACTTGTTTTGAAATAGCGTGTAGGGCTCCAGCGACGATTATGGACCTTTTTGACGTTTAATTGTCTTTCTCTATATAGCACACATGCATGAACGGACGGTTTGTATTCTCACTAATCTGTTTCCCTCTTACTCGTGCTTGATAACTTCAGCAAAGTTGTAGCTGGGAAAATTTCCTACAAGTAAAGTTGACCAATATGGTGAATTATGAGATAGACATGAACAAAAATCCTTATTTTACCATAGTAATTCCCATAAAAACTTCAAATGGTTTGTGCCATCTCAGTTTCTCACCAAATGGGTTCACATTTTGAGAGGTTAGTGAGGATCCGATTTGGAATCGTTTAAGTATTGTGGATCGAAAATTCCAAATTTTGCATCTAATCAATACATCGGTTATTACCGATTCTTTCGACCTAGGTGAACAGAAAACACGCTGGAAGTTAACTACCACCGGACGCAATTCCTTTCTGGCCCCGGCTGCCTCAGGAAATACTTGCATCGGTTCGGACACGCAACGTCACCCCTCTGATCGGAGTTTGGCAACGTGGATGAAACGCCGGAGCATGTGGTCTTCGACTGTC